TTTTTTTTTTTTTTTTTTTTTTTTTTTTTTTTTTTACCATGGGTTTAGGCCCAATCTCTTCCTCCGTAACACATTTCTGAAAGTATAAACTCATCAAATAAAAGTAATGATTTCTGTTTTGCACAAAAGAACTATGATGGCTAAGATTAGTCTTCCACTGGGGTAAGAAAACCTACTTATGAGCTTTGCGTAATTCTCATCCCACAGAAGACATCGTGGAGAGCGTGTTTCATGTCCTTGTTACGCAGGCTATAGATGAAAGGATTTAAGGCTGGTGTCACCACAGAGTATATCACCGTGATGATTTTATGCATACCAACTGAGCTGTCAGATGTGGGACTCACATACATCACCATTATGGTTCCGTAGAACAGAGAGACTACAAGCAGGTGGGATCCACAGGTCGAGAAGGCCTTTTGTCGCCCAGCTGATGAAGGAACCTGAAGCACAGCTCTGAGCACCAGGGCATAGGATCCAAGGATGTACAAAATGGTGAGGACGATGATAAGAGAACTCAAAGAGTAGAATATATACCCTACGATGGGTGTAGGTGTGCAGGACAATGCCATCAGTGGGTCCACATCACATAGAAAGTGATCAATGATGTTGGGACCACAGAAAGACAGTTGAGAAATGAAAGAAATAGGAATTGAATATACAAAGAAACCAACAAGCCAACAGAGGGACACCAGAGTACTGCAGAGTTGGGTTGTCATGATGGAGGGATAGTGTAGTGGGCGGCAGATGGCCAAGTACCGATCATAAGCCATGACACAAAGGAAGAAGCACTCGGTTGTACCCAGGGAGAAGAAGACATAGAACTGAGTGAAGCAGCCAGAGAAGGACATAGTCTTAGTTTTGGAAAGAAAGTTGACCAGCATGTTGGGGACTGTGCAGGTCACATAGCAGATTTCTAGGAAGGAAAAGTTGCCCAGGAGCAGGTACATAGGGGTATGGAGTTGGTGATCCCACCTCACTGCACAAATGATGGCCAAATTCCCACTCAAAGTCAACATGTAGACCATCAGAATCAGCGAGAAAAGGGTGATTTGCATCTCCCACGGACCAGGAAAGCCCAACAAGACAAAATAGGTCACTGTAGATACCTGTGACTTATTCATGGTCACCAGGCTGTGGAGAGAAGATAGACATCTAGATAAGTTTGCTTTGTTTCTGAAGCATCTTGAAGCTTTTCTTGTGAGCAAAAGTTTGACTCATGCAAGTAAATACAGTGGACATGTAAAAATAAGCCTTGAAGCCAGGTGTGGTGGTGCATGCCTGTAATCCCAGCACTTAGGGGGCAGAGACAGGCAAATCTCTGAGATCAAGGCCAGTTGGGTCTACATAGTGTGTTCCAGGCCAGTTGGGATCACACGGTGACCCTGTCTCAGAAAAAAAAGCCCTTAACAAATCCTGTCCTATTTTTGAATGTGTTATCTTGTTTTTTCAGTGAAGGTTGTTCAGGTACAGCAATTACTAAGTGCCATTTACCTCCAAAGATAAGGCTATACATGCCCTAATTTTTAATAGATTTGAATCTAAGAGTTTTAATAAAGCAGAATGGTTTATAATTTGTCTTTAATTGAGATTATTTCTGACGCTATTGCCATTAGAATTTATTTTCAGCCCCTTTGATCAGTTTTGGTAGAAAAGTCAGTAATGATAAGTAAGTGTTTATAGTTTGCTTTGTCCTATTTAAGGACATGTGCATTACACTGTAGCTATTTATAATTTGGTAAGTAATCCTTTGTTTTTAGCAGTGAAAAGCCACTATTATTTACTCTCTTTTGGTTAATTTCCCATGGCAAGTTATCATGACTCTTACACATTTAGGAGAAGTATTCATTAAAAATGGATGTAACATATAAGATATATTGAAGAATACTTACAAGATTTCTTGCCTAAAACCTTCTTAGTAGTTCCAGAATTTCTCTTAAAGTTC